TTTAAAGCTTTAAAAACACAATCAAATCTTAAAATATATTCTAAAACTATAAGATTATGTGGGAATAATGAAAAGGTTAAAAAAAAATCCCATGATCACACAATTTATTACATTTATGAAATTACCTAAATAGTTGGATTAAAAAAAAAAAAATATGTGTTGTCATATAATAATTAATTTTATAATTAAGGAGGAAAAAGATTTTTGAATTGATAAGGTGGTTTATTTTGTTGATCTATGAACTGCTTTGTTTAATCAGTGTAAAGTGATTCTGATGGACCTGGCATAAACTTTAGCTTCCATTCAGACTTTTCCTGCTATTTGATTACAGGGGTTTCTGAAGAAGCATAAAAGTGTTTTTGACAGCATGGCACGTTGAAGATGGCTTCTAACGGTTTGATGAATTATGTGCAAACTGTTATTCCTAAAACTTGGCATCTATCCAAAACTGATATAACGAACAAAAGCTGACTGCAAGACTAGTTGGATTGTAAAACCTAATCATTTTCTCAAAGAATTATTTTGCAAATTGATTAATCTATCGATTACAACCATAACTAATCGGACAGTAAAAGGTTCCTTAAAGAAGACTTTTTACAAAATGAAACCAGGAGTTCTGGATAGAGCATATTGACAGACGAAAAAGTTTTGTTTTTTTATCTTAAATGCAAAATTTGTATATATTGTATTTGGAATTTTGATATAATTGCTGCTCTACGTTGGTTGCTCTGTCAGCTAAAGGCGTGTTTTATGGTTTCTATACTCTATTTAACGATTTCATCGATTCCTTAGTTGACAATTAATCATGATTAATCAAATTAATTGTTTCAGCCCTAGTCCTATATGCTTTGATGGTGGCAGGATGAGCCGCTGGAGTTATATCTCATCAGACGAAGATTGGGCGTTAGTCGGTTTGAGTAGAAATGTTTAGTATTTCCAGATGCAAATCACATTTACCCAAAATCTTGGTGAATAAATGAGGAGGAATTTAATTTAAGCTTTACGGTGAGAAGCAGTTATCTAAACAAAACAAAAATTACTTAACCCGGTTCCAAAAAAGTAAAAAAAAAACAATCCACTGGACTTGATTTCCAAGTTTCAAGATGTTTCGCTTTCCATGCAGGAAGCTTTTTAAATTCAAAATGTCATAATTAGCGTTAAGATCGCAGCTTTGTGTAGTAGCCCAAATACATGTAATGGCTTAGAGAACATGCAAATTGAACCAAAAGAATGAGTCTGCCCCTTAGGAATGGGGAGTCGTTAGGGTTCTTTGTTAGCCTGTAATTCTCGATACTGGGCTATACCTCACCCGATGGAAAATAATACTTTGCAATGATTTAGTCATTCAAAATCTGATTGGTCACCTTTGGCTGACAGGAGCAGTCCTCTTTATCTGATAGATGTTGACAACTGCTAGAATGTAGAAGCAGTTAAGTTTGCCACTCTGACATATTGCTACTGAGGAAAACTGAAGCTTGGAATTGAATCAAAAGCTGCTCCCTCAAAGGATTAGTGAAAGGAATCTGGTTATTCTATCTTTTTCTACTTTTTCCCCACATATTTGAGATTTTTGTTAAGTTGACTCTATGGAATATGCCATAATAGATTTGTACATGTTTTATTTCCACTGAATGAAGTAACATAATACACTTTAAAGACTGTAGTAATCTTTGATATGGTTGTTGTACATATAGTTTATTGATCAATCAGATATACAATTTCTCTCTTACAGGAAGAGATTGATGGACTCGTCAGAGAAAACGAGGAGCTTAAATTAAAAAATCAAAGTCTGGAGGAACGACTAAAGACCGCTCTGCTCCCTTGCAACCTTAATGCTGTGCAGCCAGATGACAGAGTTTCTCCGTTTGTGGCGCAAGAATGGGAAAACAAGCTCAAAGCTGCCACAGACATGTATGAGGAGATAAAACAGGGCATGGACAAGCTGAGAGAGGTACCCGGACTGTAGTCTGTGCTTTTAAAAGATTCAATTAACTTGCTACAGAGAACAGTTTTTTTTGTACAGTTAAGGTTGATTGGATTGATTTTTTTTTTTTTTTTTTTATGTCGGTAAATAGTTTTATTTTTAATGTTTTTTTTGTTTGTTTTTTTTTTAGGCAAATGGGACTTTGCGATCACAAAATGTTGACCTGGTGCACGAGAACATGAGACTGAAAGCAGAAGTGGCTAACAGATCTCCTCAGAAGTAACTTTTAGTTTTTTCTTGCCTTTAAAAATGTAAAATGAAAAAATGGCCACCATGACAATAATGTAGTTCAGTCAAGGCAGTTTCAAAATGGTCTTTAGGCATTAAGTTGGATGATTTTTTTTTCTTATTTCAAAGTAATTTCAACATAATTGTGCATGATATATGTATTTAGCTTCTGTCTAGGTTAATTTTGGTTGTACAAAAATGTTAGAACATAGCCAGATTAAAGTGTGCTGCATGCTACATTTCATTTAATTTGATTTAATTTCATGAGAACCTGATCTGTCTTTAGGTTTGGGCGATACACAGTGGCAGCCCTGGAAGCTAGGATTCAGCAGTATGAGCGTGAGGTAGATCAGCTGAAACGAGCTCTTGAACGCAGTGACCAGTACATCGAGGATCTAGAATCTCAACTCCGGAAGTCTGAGAACAGAAAACCTGGGACATGGGAAGCACTTGAGAACAGCAAGGGTGCAGCTGAAGTTCTCCAAAAGCAACAGAAGCTCAACATGATGATGATGAGAAGCTTGAGCGACGGCGAGAGGAGGTCCATCTGCAGCAATCCGGAAGGGGAGTCCCGAACGTTTTCAAGAAATCACAGTTTGGTATTCATGCCGTCATCAGACCACAACAGGAGCCTGACTGGAGAGCAGAAGGAGGAGGACTCTGAAGGGAGCACCTCTGACTTCTTGCCCACCACCCCTTCCTCAGCTTTCCGCTCTCTGACATTAAGAAGCCCTGGCATCCGTGAGAAGAAGGTGGCATTTAAGCCCGTTTCTCATCTGAGACGGCTCAATTTTGAAGAATATGCCAGTCCAGGGAACTCTAGCGCAGCCTTAGAGAAAAAAATCAACAGCTTAGAAAAGTTTCCTAAAGGCTTATTTCAAAATGAAATGGAATCCTCAAAACCTGTTTTCTGGGGCTCTTGGCAGAGATCAAGCCTACAGGATCCGTCCCATCCATGTTCAAGTAAAGAAACTTTAGCAGAGGGAAACACATCTGCTACTCTTATCAGGGAGGAGCCGGATAGTTTACAGATGTCCAGTGAGGCATCTATGGATGCTGCTTACCTGGACAAAATTTCCGAGCTCGACTCCATGATGC